AGTGCAGTTAAGTAGAAGATGCTCTACTGATTCTTCAGACCCCACATAAGCAACAAGTTGAATCCACTTCCATGCCTCTTCTTTTCAAATTAATCCCAACAGGTAAGGTATCAGTGTAGCACCTCCAAAGAAAGTGCTTGAGTTTCCCTTTCACATTCAACTTCCAACTTCTGATTCCCAGCTTCTTGTTGATGTCTGCACCTGTGTTGCTTTCAGCCATAACCATCTTCCTTAGCTTCTCCTGCATTAAGTGAGAGTATGCATTTGCAACAGAGAAGTGGCCTTTGTGGTCAAAAGACCATAACCACTTATCATTGGCTGTAGGATCAAGATTTTTTATGCTCAGAATTTTTGATTTATCTTGTTCATCAAATAACTGCTCAATGACATCCTCTCTCCAGTTCCTACCACATTCATCCATAAGTTCACCCACCCATACTAGATCACAACCCTCATATGGTCTTCTTTTAAGATAGCATGTATCTTCACCAGTGCCTGCAAGCCAAGGCTCTTGCCAAATTCTAGTGGACCATCCATTGCCAATTTGCTTTTTGAACCCTGATTTGTACCTATCTCTTACTCTCATCCAGTTGCTCCTTAGCCATGAAACATTATAATTTCTCTGAGCTTGTAGGAGAGAGCAATTTAGAAAATATTTACCTTTCAGAATTTTACTAACCAGAAGGTTAGGATGGGTGACTATTCTCTAAAGCTGTTTTAATATGAGGGCATCATTGAACAGACAGATATCATGAAAGCCCAACCCTCCTTCTTGCTTTAGTGTGGTGACATGCTTCCAGGACTTCCAGTGCATTCCTTTAGATTGTGAGTCACCTTTGCTCCACCAGAACCCTGCACATAATCTTGAGATTTCTTGACAGACACTTCTTGGGAGAGTAAAGCATGACATGATGAAAATGGGAAGAGCATTAATAATGGATTTGATAAGGACTTCTTTCCCTGCTCCTGATAAAAATTTGTTTGTCCAATTTGAGATTCTGTTATTAACCACATGCACTACATAAGCAAAACATTCTCTTTTGGATTTGCCAATCCCTAAAAGGAGGCCTAAATATCTGGAAGAGTGATGGATAGAAATTCCTTCAAGGATTTGACAAATATCAGTCTGCATACTCAGAGAGATGTTTTTGCTAAAGAATATAGAGGATTTGCTTAAATTCACTTTTTGGCCTATAAAAAGATTATATATGTTCAACATATTGAGCAAAGAAGAAGCTTGATGACAATCAGCTTTGCCAAAAACAAGAGCATCGTCAGCAAAGAGTAGGTGGGTGAAGGTGGGGACAGACTTATAGATTTTCAAACCAGTGAATCCACCAGAACTCACTTCTGCAGAAATTATTCTGGTGAACATTTCAGAGACTAAAATAAAGAGATATGGGGACAGTGGGTCCCCCTGTTCTGATCCCTCTGGAAGTTTTCACATACCCTTTAATATCACCATTCAGGTTAAAAGAAAATGAGGGGGTAGTTATGTAAGACATGATCCTGTTACAAAATTTAGAATGGAATCCAAACTTAAGCAGCATTTTATGAATACAGTTCCATTCGAATCTATCAATAGCTTTTTCCATGTCTAATTTTACAGCCATGTACCCCTTCCTATTTGATCTATGTTTATTGAGCAAATGGATAACTTCTTGAGCTATAATAACATTATCAAGGAGTTGTCTTTCTTTAAGGAAAGCAGATTGATTCTCACTTATACAGAAGGAGAGACAAGCTCTGAGTCTAGAAGAAAGGATTTTAGAGATGATTTTGTAGCAGACTCCACATAGGCTGATAGGCCTATAGTTGCCAATGACTGAGGATTAAGGCATTTAGGGATTAGAGGGATTAAGGTGTGATTCCAGTTTTTGAGAAGGATACCATAGGAGAAAAAACTATCTATGGCTACACAAATATCAAATTTAATAATAGACCAAAATTGCTGAAAAAAAAATGGGAGACATACCATCAAGTCCAGGGGACTTGTGAGGATCCATGGAGAATACAACTTCCTTAATTTCCTCTTTTGAAACTGGGGCAATGAGGTCTTGATTCATCTCTTTTGAAATGGTTGGCTGAATTAGGTTAAGTCATTTTCCCCTCTTGATCCCTCTGATGAAAACAACCTTCTGTAAAAGGAGCTCAGGTGGTCTCCAATTTCTTCCTGGTTTTCATATATTCTCCCTTCAGAGTCAACCAATCTTGAGATTGCATTTGATTTTCTTCTTTGCATCACCAGAGCATGAAAGAATTTGGAGTTAGAGTCTCCCTCTCTGAGCCATTGGCATCTTGCTTTTTGATTCCAGAATGCTTCTTCTTTTTTGTGTTCCTGTCAAGTTCATCTTTGGTGATGGTCCACTGTTGCCAGTTCCTGTCACTTCCTTGGTTCCTGAGCTCTTTCAGCTTGGCATTGAGTTCCACCCTTTTCTTTTCACTTTTTGCTCTAAATTTACTGTTCCAATTGAGCAGGCCTATTCTGGTTTCTTTAATTCTTTCTTTGATTTGAAACATGGGGGTTCATGTCTGAGTTTTCTCCCATGCTTCTTTGACCACTTCTTTGATTCCTGCCATCTTCAACCATCTTTTGTCAAAAAAAGAACCTCTTGTGCTTTAGCCTTGGGACATCAACTTCAGTAAATGAGCAAGAGAAGGTGGTGATTTGATGCACTCTTGAAGGTGTTTTCTACTACTGCATGACTGTTAAGGGTGCACCATTCAAATGACCCAAAGATCCTGCCAATTTTTTTTTCTATAAATTCTTCACCAAGACTGTTATTGCCCCATGTAAAGCTATGCCAGTCATTTTGATCTCAAGCATGCCCATTTTGGAGATGAATTCTTGAAAGCCTCTGAGTTCTTCTGCAGATTTCATTCTCCCCCATTTCTTTTCAGAAGCATCTAGCATCTCGTTCCAATCCCCTCCAATGATCCAATATCTACCCCATTTTGAGCTAGCCTCTAATAAAAATTCTCACTGGATCTCCCTCTCTCTTTTACTAGTGCTGACATAAATGAAAATAACCCACAAAAAGGAGGAGTGCCCTTCCCATTCTATTTCAATTTCAAAACAAAAAGGATTTTTCAAAATTTGAAGGATTTTAACATCTTTCCTCCACGGTACTAATAACCCTCCATTCAACCCAACCGGCTCAACAGTTTCCCATCTACCCTCAAAACCCAATATTTTACAAACAATCCAAATGAAGGATTTTTTTTTTTCTTTTTTTTTTCTTTTTTTTTTTTTTGTTTTTGTTTCAGCTAAAAAGAAACCTATCTGCCAATTAACAAAATACATAATTCGCCATTAAATAAATTCCAACATAATTCATTCCATAAATACCAGTTTTTTGAATATTCATAATGTAATATATGTACATATAATTGTTAGCAAAATTAAATTAATAAAGCTATTTGGGTAGCCTGCTTTTTCTTTTACAATCCAATAATAATTTTTTAACCTGTTACTGAAATCTAATCAACGACGCTTATTTCTTTGTTTTGAAAAGTCTGATTTTTCAATGTTAATTAAACATAAATTTTTGTGTATTGTAATATTTTTTTTTTATCTTTTGGTGTGAAATTATATATAAGAAAATTTTATACAACATTAATCATTAATTTACTATATCTTCGATTGTTTGTTCTCAATTTTTTTAACATTTTTTTTTTTCTAATATGAAAACGTGTAAAAGAATTACACACTACTATTATAGTTACAAACCAAATATAAAATCAAATTATGCCCATTAGTTTTAGTAAAAACTTCAATCACCTCTTCTTATAGAAATAATAATTTTAGTGACACATAATAATAATAATAATAATAATAATAATAATAATAATAATAATAATAATAATAATAATAATAATAATAATAATAATAATTTTCAATCAATCAGTTGGTCAAGATCTCTCAAAATTGTCATAATTATATTATTTACATAAGTTATGCAATTTATATTTATAGTGTTATTTTTTACTACTATATTAAAATTAAAAAAAAAAGTGATGCTTTATTATCTAACTTATAACTTTAAATATTATATATACATTGTACTAGTATATACTTTTTTTTTTTCGACTAGAGGAGGTATCCCCACATTCATATAATACTTCACCAGCCACTCCAAGCCTACACCATCAACCTTCTCTTGGGGTACGAATCGGCCAGATCGACTATGGGATACACACCTTCTTGGGGTACGAATCGGCCAGATCGACTATGGGATACACACCTAGAGGAGCGAGGCTAATCTTCTTGGAGGAGTGAGGTGTCTCATCCACTCACGACAGTCAAATTCAATCTCCCCGACCTTCGCTTTCATGGGGTATTAAATTCTCCCACTAAGCCAATGTGTTCAATGCGTATTTAATGCATGACATGAGTCAATACACAATTTGTTAATAACTCTAGATGGTTCCATAACCCGAGCCATCAGATAGTTCCATAGCAAAACCGTAAGTTATTCAGAAATTATATGGAGCTATCAAATGACTCATTTATAAAATCATTCATAACTTTATAGACTAACATGTGTCTAATGTGTATTTAATGCATGTACGCGTCAATACACCATTTGTTAATAAGTCTGAATGACTCCATAAACCAAATACACCATTTGTTAATAAGTCTGAATGACTCCATAAACCGAATCATCGAATGACCCCATACCAAAACCGTTAAATTATTACCCTACAGATCTATATCCCATCAAAACTCTCCTAATCAAGTCGGGTCCCCCAAAACAAAATAAATAAAAGAGCCTCTCTCAAACAGTCCCTTGTCAAGTATCACCAAGAATCTTTTTTCTTTCCATCTATATTCTATCGTTTTCTTGTTTAAGTGTTCCTTTCTCCATTTTCAGTCCAAGTTCAAGAACGATTCTGGATGCTCGAGCTCTATTTACCTTATTCTGATTAAATATTAGCAAAACCCAAAGCACAATTTCAATTGTTTCTCATTCTACCTTCATCCGCAATTGCAGCCGGAAATGGGCGGTGAGGGCGGTGAAGCTCAACTCTAACTCGCGAAATTTTTTGGGCATTTCAAGATTTTGTTTTCCCCCCTTTTCTAAAGTCTTTGATTTTCAGGTAGTGAAGTGGGCTGCTCGAGTTCTAATCTATGGCTTGCCCAAGACCCCAGCAAAAGATGGGGTGAAGTATTCTTCCTTCTCTACACTCCCTTTTGGCTCACTCTTTGCCTCGGAATTGTTGTACCTTGGAAGCTTTATGAGGTGTACTTCTTTCTCGTCTGGATTTACTGCTTCTGTAAAACTTCTCTTTCGTCGAATAAATTCTTTTGTATTGAAGATCGTTGTTTCGAGAAAAAATACGGCTTGATTACTTGGCTGGGGCTTTACTATTTTGGAAAAAGATAGTGTGGAAGAGTTTAAAACTAGGGAATTTGGGTTAAATGTGATAATTGCAGGTGATGTGTTGGTGGTTGTAGTGTTATGGTATTTAGATGCTATTGATTGTTCATAGAGCCAGAAAGGTTGAATATAGTATTTATGATATGAATGTGTTAAATGGTATCAATCTGATGTTATAGTTTTAATTGAAATTGCTACTGGATGTGATTGGCTATTGAAGAAAAACGACGCGCACAGCTTTTGTTTCATCTAAAGTCTCTAAAAATGTGGTGGAAACTATCTTTTCTATAAGGTTAAAAGGACTATCTCAAATTTGAAGATTGTAATGAAGTAATCTTCATTTTTCGTACTTTATGTGTTTCTAATAATAGACTTCTGAGTTCAGTTGTTAATTCCAAAGGGCACGGTTCTCTTGCATCCTCGAAATGTGTTTGTCGATATGATGTTGTTTTGTTGTAAAAAATAAACATATTAATTGGGATTGTTGGATGTATGGTTCGATTGAAGACCACTCTGATAACTGATTATATGTGTCCGAGTGCGAACTACATGATGTATAAATTTTGTGTGCCATTGTTGAATTACATTGACAATTTTGTTCAATAAATGTGCTTACCTTGTTTGATATACTGTTTGCTAGACACTAACTTAATGTTCCTCATGTTTTGCTTCTTTATTCTGTTTTTCTTTTCTGTTCTTTCCTTTTGCTGCAGAATTTCACAGAGTGGGAGTACCTTGTTCTGGGACTTGTTTCAGCACTCCCTGCTTTCATTATTCCCATGATAATTGTTGGGAAGGTAAAATGAGGGATGTTTTCATTTGGTTTTGATGAACTGCACGTTTCAATGTCATTGGGTGTTGAAAATATATTTATTGCGCTTCCGCTAACAAAAGGAAAGCTGTTGAAGCTTCATTCTTTCATGTTTTAGTGTTGTAACAATTATCGTTTTCCTCGAATTTTACCAGGCGGATAGAAGCAAATGTTGGAAGGATCGTTATTGGGTAAAAGTAAGTATTGTTTTTTTGTTGTTAAACTCGAAATGATAAAATTGATTTTTTCTTTTCAATAAATGATTTGTTGTTTACTCTGTTATTTATTTTGTTTGTTTCTCTGAAGATCAAAATTCCCAAATTCATAATAGAACTGGTGGTACAGAATGACAAACAACTTCACTTTGTACCTAAATTTGAATGGAGAAACGGCTAGCATGCAAAGCATATTTGTGGAAACTTTTGATCGAAACTATAGAGAAACTAAATGACATAAACGACTTAATTCAAATTCTTCCTGCCGGCTTCTGGTTTATGTCATTATTCACCTCCTACAAATTCCTCCTCATTATTTACGATTGTCTATAACTAGGAAATTGTTGTTCTGCCAGGCTAATCTGTGGATCATACTTTTCAGTTACGTGGGGAATTACTTTTGGACCCACTATTTTTTTACCGTTTTGGGAGCCTCATATACATTTCCATCATGGAAAATGAATAACGTGAGCTCATCTCTTCGTTTTTTTTTTTTCTTTCTCTTGACGCAATCTCCATCTTTTAGTTTTTAATTACTGAAGAGTGATTAACTCTGTGCAGGTACCTCACACAACTTTCCTTCTCACACATGTGTGCTTCTTGTTTTATCATGTCACATCAAATATGACACTTCGTAGGATCCAACATTCTGTGGCTCACTTGCCAGAAAACGTCCAGTGGTGTTTCGAAGCCGCCTGGATTTTAGCCCTTTCGTACTTCATAGCATATCTAGAGACATTAGCCATCTCCAATGTAAGTGAAAATAAAAAATATATAATGTATTTTATGAATATGTATGTATAATTTAATATCCTTTTTTTTTGCTTTTGTTTGTGTGCAGTTTCCCTATTATGAATTTGTGGACCGTGCTTCCATGTACAAAGTTGGCTCCTTGTTCTATGCGATTTACTTCTTCGTTAGCTTCCCTATGTTTTTGAGGCAGGCTCTCCCTCTCTCTCTCTCTCTCTATATATATATATATATATATATATAATATGTGTGTGTGTGTATATATGTATATATGATGTGTGGTTCAGATGAATAATAAATCTTAGCATGAATTGTACGTAGTGCTATCATTGATTGTGTTTTAGTGCTACTTTTAACCATGATGTATTTGATTAAAATAGCAACACGATTTATATTAGCATTTGTGAAAATGATAGGACTATGTAACATAAAATAGCATCAAATACGGTTCTCACATTAGGACTAGTTTTTATTTGAACCAGCCATATATATATATACATATTATAATGATCATATTTAATTTTGGCATCCAGGATTGATGAGAAGCCTGGTGATCGTTGGGACTTGCCTCGGGTAGCCATTGATGCTTTAGGTGCTGCAATGCTAGTCACCATAATCCTTGATTTATGGCGTATTTTTCTTGGCCCAATTGTACAAATTCCAGATTCTAAACAGTGCCTTCAACCGGGATTGCCTTGGTTCCTAGGTAATGCCTAGTGTGACCCGTTGGGATGTAGGAAGAGAAACTCGAGCCATTCTGGTCTGGGCATCTCTTTCTCCCTCTCAAGCCACCTACTGTAAGGCTGTAACTGTTAATGTATTTTCTAACATGAGTTCAGTTTCCGTGATGTTGTTCGCCATTCGCTATTGTTGTTGTTTGCTGTGCTGTTGGCTTGCGTGTTTTGAACTGTAGAGTGATGGATTCCATGTAATTGAGATTTGTTTTAGAATTAGTCATAAATTTGGTCCATTTTCGTAGGATCTTATTTTAATTTCATGTAAATTTCGTTTTATTGTGTTTGCAGTTAAAGAGTTCTGGTTTGTTTATCCATAAATTTGGCTACTGAATTTGATGCCCATGAATTGCATAAAAAAAAGCTTTCTTGTCATGAGCAAGATCTTAAGCTTATCACAATAACCACAGGCTATAACCAATGGTGTGCGCTTGACGAATTTGGTTTTGGTACATGGTTGTATGATTTCTTTAATTCAGCCTCTTGCAATTTTATGGTTATTATAAATTTTTTGATTCGATTTAATTAACCGACCACTTATATGTAAATCAAATCGAAAACTAAATTTTACAAAATAAAAACCAAAAAACGAAACTAAATATTTAGTTTCGGTTTTATGTCATATTTTTTTTTTTTTTTTTTTCGATTTCGTTTGGTTAACGTATTATGTGCACCCCTACTACTAATCAAGTTGGTGAAGTGTCTGCAGCTAAAATGAAACAACATTCCTTTGCAAAGATGCAAAATTGTATAAAAATATAGAAACATGAGAGCATTTCCAAAGTATGAATGTCAATGTTGAAATATTCATGTCACATGTTAATAGTTAATTGAATTGTAATTTTTGGCATCTCTGTTGATATAATAGATTATAAGAGCATCTCCAACGGCCTTTCCATTGTGCTATTTTGTTGTCACAACGCACAAATAATCTTCTATGCATGGAAAATGTCTATAATAAGTTGTTTAGATATAGAAGTCATTCTAAACAACTTCTATTATGCCTTATATTATGTATTCAATATGTACTTATTCTCCACCCAACTAGAATTTTACACATCACAAATGATAACACAACTAACATTATTGGTGACACGATTTTTTAATTTCCTTTCTCCATGCCATACAATACAAAATTAACAACATTTCATTGAAGATGCTCTGTACAACTATCTCCAATGCATTTCTTTCCTTCTAGCATTTGTATGTGTATATTTATTTATTTATTTTTTAAGAAAAAAAATGATAAAAGCAACTTATAAAAGATTACCCAGGTTCATTAAATAAAACTTGCCAATGCTGCAGCTTTGAAATTTTAATTACGTTAATTTTTTAATTAAAATGAATAAAGTGGCCTTCATCATCCTAAAACTAAATAAATAATAAAATTAGGAAAATCATTTTTGTAAATTTAAAAAAGTAATTAAGTTAGAGATACCAAAGTTTGAAAGAAAGATTTAATTACCTAAAAAATGACCAGGTAAATACAATGTAACTTTATCTTTAAAATGTGAAAATTGTAATTACATTCTTCGTGTTATTTTCATCTAAAAAGATAAAAATTATTGTGTTACATTCATCTCCAAAAAGTACTAAATATATAATAAATAATAAACATGGTTGAAATTTTAAATACTAGGGGTCGTCCTTGACCGCTCAATCCCCCCGACGAAGTGCGCCTCCGATGTCGCTGTGGAAGGGCCACGATTGGCGGTCTGGTTCGAGGATACTGACGGCGTTTTGGTCGGTGGTAGCCTCCTTCACGGTCAGTGTTAGGATGGCGACGGGAGTCTTCTCCTCAGTCGCCGGTGGAGCTTCTATTTGTGACGGTAAGCCCTCCAACTTCGCTTTGTCGGTAAATGTTGGATTCGGTCCCTTTCGGCGAGGCTCCGCCTCTTTTGGGTGGTGGGGCCTGGTCCTCTGATTTGGTCCCTAGTGGTGGGTGTTGGGAGGAGTGCGAGTCCTCCGAGGGGTTGGGCTCCGGTTGCTGCGGCTTTTTCAGTCGTGGTGGACGGGGTTGAAGGACAGACCCACCTTCACCCTCCCCTGCTCGGCTAGTAATATTAGGCCGCGGGGGAACCTAAGCTCGACTAGTTGTGTTAGACGAGTTCGGGTGGTCTGGTGTGGGGGCTGGTCAATTCTCTTTCGGTTGAAGATGGGTCAATTCGGGGATTGGTTCGGGCTCAGTTTCGACAACTTGTATAGGCGTTCGCGCAGTTTCGGTAGTGGATTCTCTTGCTAGGAGTCTTTCTTGGGTCGATCATTCACTGTTGGTTGGGACCGCTTGTATGCCGGGGAAGGGCTTTACTGGTTATTTTGTTTTTCTTTTTTTTTTTTTTCTGGTTTTTCTTGTTTAGTGCCATGTGTTTGTGTTTGTATTTGTATTTTAGGTTTGGGCCGTTGGCCTCAGTTAGCCCTCCGGTTGGGATCGTACATACGAGCATTACCCTATTGGGGTCTTTTTAGTTTCTTAGTGTTTTGTGTGTTAGCGTTTTTGTGTTAGTGAGTATTACCCCGTTTGGGTCAGCTATAGGCGGTCTTTGACTGTCCTCCCACTTATTCAGCTGTTGGCTGTTTGTATTCAGCTGGTGGATGTACTTTGTTCGTTTATATATAATATCACTATCGTTTCGGCAAAAAAAAAAAAAAAGAATAGTGACTAATGAAAAAGTAACAAAATAAATATTATACTAGTTAAATTTTGGAATATTAAAATTTTAATTACATTCTTTCACGATTTAGTGTTGTTTTCATTGCGAAAAAAATACAAATATAGAGTAAACAATAAAATTAGAAACATACGGAACCTTACATTTTTGTGAGTCATACTGTCTAATAAAATGTCTGCCTTTAAATAGTGGGCTTGACAATAGTCAAGCCCCGTCACAAAAAAAATTGACCATGACAAAACCCATTGAAGAGATAAATATAAAAACATTGTCTCCAATAATGGCATGTCATTTATTTTTTTTCCCTTAACTATAACGCACTGAAGATGCTCTGAGGTGACTGGACAGAGAAGTCAATAACTCGGCGTAGAACTACTACGAGCTAGGCTCTACTTTGAACAACTCATCTCAAATTATGCGACACGACTTCCATATAATCAAAACATTCACGCGTCATCCACGTTAATACCTTTTTTACGTTTTTTGTCTATTCTTTTCACCCGTGCTCTGTTCCTTCATAACTAGGGATCCAAATTAAATACTCATTATGTGCCTCCAATAGTAAAAAATTCTGTAAGAGTGTGAAAATGTTTGCATAACAATAGCGTAAATAGTTTTTCAAACTTTAGAATGAAAGAACAATAACGCAATTTACACACCAACGAACCAATATTTAGCTCTATAAAAAGTATGTGAAATATAATGCAACATTACATATGAGCAAAACCCCAAACTTAAACTATTGAGGTCTTGATCAGTTCAAAGACAATCACAGCTCATATGTCAATCATGCGAATTCTCAATAGACACTAGAAAAATATTATACCTAACTTCTAAATTTTTAAATATAGAGAGTGCTTCATCAAACTTACAACCAGTAGCTTATATTCAAATACCTCATTGGATAAGTGCGTACTCTCTGTTAAAAGTGTACAAGGAAAAAACACTCAAATAAATTCATAGTTGAAAAATTACCATAAGCTTGAAAATCGTCCATTATATAAACCATTTACTGTCCATGAAACTCATGAATCAAATATGGCGTCGCTTATAGTATGTGACAATGAACAATGTTTCTCAAGAGCAGAAAAATAGAAGTATTGGTATCGAAATGACCTCCAACCGGTTAGAATAAGCTAGCAACACCTGGAACTCGAATGAATAGCCGGTTGAACATCCTCAAACCTGTAGAACTCGCACACCAGAGGGGATCATCGGTGAAGAGCATCTGATGCTAAAGTAAGTATATGTTGAAAATGAAATGCAGAGAGGAAAACTCTCTGGAAAATGCTAAGTATAATAGAGAAGGTAATGTATTTTCGGTCATACCTCGCTTCCTTTTATAGGAGAAGGTACCTTAGGGCCCGATTCGGGCACGTGAGCTCTCCACCAGCAAGCGCGTGAGCTACCTCAGTTGTCAGAATTTTCAGAGCCATATGAGCTGTCAGAGGTGTTTACAAGGCACGAACCACTCAGGTGATCCCTCGTGGTTTCACACACGCGAGGATTTTAATTTCCCTAAGATGCATTCTTATCTCTAAGCTCTCTTCATTAGGTGTCCCGATTATGGACTCGACCCCCATTGCATTTAAGTAAAACTGTTGCCGTCCACAGGCCTCAATGTCCTGTCTCTTTGGTCGATCGCTCGACCAGCTCCTCTTCTCTTTGACCATCGACCCATCTCCCTGAAAGTCTTTCACTCGACCTATTTTCTAGTCCAGTCGATCAGGTATGGATATCCCATATCAAAGTCCCTATGCCCAAGATCGTTCTCGGTGCTCCTTCTCCCGCAGCATGCTGACGTCGGACGTCAGAGATGGTGGTGGGGATGGGCAGAAGTGTCAGCCTCGCCGAACACCATTGTATCAGATTCAACTGAATTTATCAAGTTGAATGCTACGACCGAATATGATGCAAAGGCTGTCGTCGAGAAAAAGACGATCATGGCTGAAGCTAAAGGACAATATTTCTCTGACACTTTTTTTTTCCCCGTTTGATCCTCGGCTTGCAGGCTGGAGGTTGGTTGCAGTATGGGGGGAGGTTGGTTGGTAATAGATATGGAGGATGACGACAGGGTGCTGGTTGCAGTGGTAGAGTTGATTTCGGCGGGGGTCGTATTATCGGGGTGGACCTTCTACAATGTCGGGGAAAGGCGGTGGCAGCGTCGATACAACTGATGACCAACGACGGGACAGACGATCTTACCGGCAGTGTGGTATGTGGCTGCAGTCGGCGCTGGGTGGTCGCCGGTGTGATGTCGTATGGTGGCGCTTGACATCGAGTGCGTGTGTGTGTTTCTGTAAATTGAGTGGGTGTTGTGTGTGAGAGAGGGGAAGGGGTAGGTGATAAAGTGATTGTGTGAGAGAGGGGGGATGGAGTAGGTGACGATGAGTGAGTTAGTGGATGTTGGGTGTGGGTCCCGATGAGTTGGTATTATTTATAGTGACCAATTTACTCTTAGTTAGTGGTCAAATACATATATTTGATCATAATATTACTACTTATTTACTATACTGACATTAATGATTGACCGTTATTTATTAAAGTTTGACTTGATCATGGTCAATGATGTGATGGATCTTATCGTCCAGGATCATTCTTATTTCTTTCATTTCCATTATCAATTGAGCGCACTTATATGTATATATATATATGTGTGTGTGTGTGTGTGTGTGTGTGTGTGTTCATGATATTCGATTTGGCATATGTATTGTACATAGAAATAAATAAATATATTTATATTTATAAAAAATTATTATATATGAATATTAATAAGAAAAAAGCTATTTAAAATAATCGTAAGTATACATTAGTTATATGATATAAGTTATAAAATTAATATGATATAAGATGTTAAACCGTATAAGTGACTTGTATCACTTTATAAATAAAATGAAAAAAACTACTTGTACAATTTTTTGTAGAACATTAATTGACAACATGATGTGGCATAATATGAGTGATTGAGATGCAAATAAATGTACGATTAAGATTTGAGTTAATTATACTTTAATGTTGTCAACTAATGTTGTAAACAACAATTGTAAATACAACATTGCCCAAATAAAATATAGTTTTTTACAAACTCAACCCGGAAACTCAAACTAACTCTATTATTGGACCTCTGGAGAACATAAAGAAACATATATTTGGTTGGCTAACAAGGACTAACATATTGACATACTTAAATTCCTTGTCATGTTCATGGTTGACCAGACATAAACTGAAATCCGAATGTGCGAAAGAATAAATGACTCAGATCATGAGGGCTTCAATTATTCCTTAGTTGAATTGTCAATGTCAACGCATAGCTAGCTAGCCTGGAATTGTTATTTTACTTAAACAATTTATCACCTTCAATAATCATTGACTGCGAACACTGTATAAAAGGGCTACTGCTATCCATCAACTATGCAACACAACATAGCTTAGTCCCACTTTAACGGTTTGGCTAAAAAAAAAAAAAAAATATCAAAAGGTTGAGTGAGTGGTCGAGAAATGACATCTCGGGGAAGGTTGCGCCAATGGCGCCACCTTACTTATGCAGTCGCATTCTGTTTAATAGCCGCTAGTGTCCTCGCTGACAAATCCTATTACCACGCTGAGCGTTTCCACAAAAGCAAAAAATTTCCAAAGCATCGAAAGCACATCCCACATCCTCACCATCACGGTTCACCTCACTACTCTCACAAATCATCACCACCGTTAGTTTATAACTATAAATTCCCTCCGCCCCAATCAAAATCTCCCCCGTCTCCATACTACTATAATTCTCCGCCTCCACCGGCTAAGTCACCACCGCCACCAAATTACTACTACAAATCTCCACCACCGGCGAAATCTCCACCGCATCCATATTACTATAAATCTCCACCTCCACCGGCCAAATCACCATCACAGCCTGCTTACCATCACAAATCTCCTTTGCCACCAGTAAAGTCCCCTCCTCCTACTTACTATTATAAATCACCACCTCCACCTGCCAAGTCACCACCACCACCGGCTTACTACTACAAATCTCCTCCGCCACCAGTAAAGTCTCACCCGCCTCCTTACTACTATAAATCCCCACCTCCACCAGCCAAATCACCGTCGCCAGTTTACTACTATAAATCTCCTCCGCCACCAACAAAATCTCCACTACCTCCATACTACTATAAATCTCTACCTCCGCCGGCCAAGTCACCACCACCATCTACATATCATTACAAATCTCCTCCGCCACCAGTAAAGTCCTCTCCTCCTACGTACTATTATAAATCTCCACCTCCACCGGCAAAGTCACCACCACCGCCGTCATACTACTACAAATCTCTCCCGCCACCAGTAAAGTCTTCCCATCCTCCATACTACTATAAATCTCCACCTCCACCAACCAGGTCACCACCGCCGCCAGTTTACCACTACAAATCTCAACCGCCACCAGAAAAATCTCCACCACCTCCATACTACTATAAATCTCCACCACCGCCGGCTAAGTCACCACCACCGTCTGCTTATTATTACAAATCTCCTCCGCCACCAGTAAAGTTACCCCAACCTCAGTACTACTATAAATCCCCACCTCCACCGGCCAAGTCACCACCACCGCCGACTTACTACTACAAATCTCCTCCGCCACCAGTGAAGTCTTCGCCTCCTCCATACTACTATAAATCTCCACCTCCACCGACCAAGTCACCACCACCGCCAATTTACTACTACAAATCTCCTCCGCCACCAGCAAAATCTCCACCACCTCCATATTACTATAAATCTCAACCTTCGTCGGACAAGTCACCGCCACCACCTGCTTACTATTACAAATCTCCTCCGCCACCAGTAAAGTCACCCCCTCCTCTGTACTACTATAAATCCCCACCTCCACCGGCCAAGTCACCACCACCGCCGACTTACTACTACAAATCTCCTCCGCCACCATTAAAGTCTTCCCCTCCTCCATACTACTATAGATCTCCACTTCCACCGGCCAAGTCACCACCACCGCCAGTTTACTACTACAAATCTCCTCCGCCATCAGTAAAATTTCCACCACCTCTATATTACTATAAATCTCCACCTCCGCCGGCCAAGTCACCACCACCACCTACTTACTATTACGAATCTCCTCCGCCACCAGTAAAGTCACCCCCTCCTCCGTACTACTATAAATCACCTCCTCCACCGACCAAGTCACCACCACCGCCGACTTACTATTACAAATCTCCTCCGCCACCAGTAAAGTCTTCCCACCCTCCATACTACTATAAATCTCCACCTCCACCGACCAAGTCACAACCGCCGGCAGTTTACTACTACAAATCTCCTCCTCCACCAGCAAAATCTCCACCACCTTCATACTACTACAAATCTCCACCTCCGCCGGCCAAGTCACCACCACCGCCTGCTTACTATTACAAATCTCCTCTGCTCCCACTAAAGTCACCCCCTCCTCTGTACTACTATAAATCCCCACCTCCACCGGCCAAGTCACCACCACCGTCGACATACTACTACAAATCTCCTCCGCCACCAATAAAGTCTTCCCCTTCTCCATACTACTATAAATATCCTTCTCCACCGGCCAAGTCATCACCACCGCCAATTTACTACTACAAATCTTCTCCACCACCAGCAAAATCTCCACCACCTCCATACTACTATAAATCTCCACCTCTACCGGCCAAGTCACCACCACCACCTGCTTATTATTACGAATCTCCTCTGCCACCAGTAAAGTCACCCCCTTCTCCGTACTATTATAAATCTCCACCTCCACCGGCCAAGTCATCACTACCACCGATTTACTACTACAAATCTCCTCCGCCACCAGTAAAGTCTTCCCCTCCTCCTTACTATTATAAATCCCCACCTCCACCTGTCAAGTCTCCACCCCTGCCAGCTTACTACTACAAACCTTCTGCTCCACCAATAAAATCTTCCCCACCACCTTATTAGTATAAATCACCACCCCACCAATGATGTCACCACCACCGCCAGCTTATGATCAATTTGATGTATTCCTTTTTACTTATTTTTAATTCTTAACTTTGCGTCTGTCAATAAAGAGGCCCCGAATATCATGCTGGTGTATGTACTTATGAAGCATTCTTCCGCTAGCCTCCGTTTCTAGCAATTATGAAAATGGTGTACCCAAGATTAAGAGTTGCAAATATGAATTGCTAATGAGTATGGTCATTTAAATTTATCTATCAAGATCTGCTTTTTTCATTTTTATCTCAACAGTGTTTGGATAACTTTGGATTTAATTCAAGTGGAAGTTTAGGGTGGCTTATTTTATTAAAAAACAAAATATGTGGCAAGAAATAAAAAAAAAAATATTTTGGACATGAATCAAATGGACGGATTATGGAAATCCGTTTTTTTTTAATATAATTTTATTAGAAAAACAGATTTTCATAATCCGTTTTTATTATTTATTTTTTTTAAAGAAAATGGTCGAATTTAATAAGAATAATAAATCTAATTTATAACACGGATTTTCACAATGCGTTTTTAATAAAAAAATAAAAAAATAAAAAAAATAAAAACAGATTTCCAAAATCCCTTTTTTGCTTGATATAAAAAGCTGCAAAATCCTCCCCCGACCACAGACAACAGCTTCTTACCTTATCTTATCTTCATATCTTAGCTTCTTACCTTTTGTTCGATTTTTGTCAAGCTCAATTCAAAAAAAAAAAAATATAAATTGTCAGAGAAGAGGTTAATTGTTATTTTAATGTAATGTAATATCATTTTTTTGTTTATGAATATTTAAGATATATATTTGGTTAATTGAGTATTTTTAGAAAATCTTGAATGTTGGTTTAATAGTTGTGTTAAATGATTATAATTTGCTATTGTATGCTGGGTTTTGTTGTATGTTGAATATTTATCCGAATTGTTTATGAATTTGATGTTATTGTTGGATTATGGTGATTAGGGTTTTGGTGGTGTTTTTGATAAATTAATTGACATTTTTTTTTGCTGGAGTAAAAATATGATTAATTATATGTTGTTGGAAATGAGTTTTAAATTTAGATTTGTAATAATTGAATTTTCTTGGTGTTTGATTAGCCATTATGTGTTGTTGTAATTTGTAAAATAAATTTTTTTTGTGCAACAGGTTATATATGTCGTCTAACGGTCCCTACTTTGTTAATGTGTACTGGAAAATTCTCCAAAGTGAGTTATGGAATTTTTCGAATTATATGTCTCGTCCGGATTGTTCATTTGTTATTAATGGAATAATATCATATAAATAATTGGTAGATATGATTTACGAAAATGGTGGGTTTCGTGATAGTTGGATAATTTCAGATATTACTTTAATGGCCAGACAACCGGATGGTTCGTTTATTCTCGGAAGACTAAATAATGATAGTGCTCTTTCGTGGATTTACTACTTTCCTCGTATGTCCTATGTGTTTTTGTGTATAGTGTTGGAAGCAAACACACAGGTTACACAGGTTGAGGATCCTACGCCATCATATGGTTACGGGTGAGTGTTTGGTGGTGAGGGTACGTGGACTACGCATGCCGGTAATTTTGGTGAAGGGACTAGTAATTTTGGCTAAGGGACGAGCTTTACCTTGAGAGGACTGGACATTGAGGAAGAAATTGTTGGAGAGGAAGATTTCAGTCCCGATGAAGATGATTTCACTGATGAGACCTCGGAAACCGAATCAGACAGATTAATTAATGAGGAGAGCGAACAAGAATTCATTCAAGAACACCCCTTTCCAAATGAAGGCCTCCACGTATATCACGAGATGGGTGAGTGGGACTCGTCGTGTGTAGACAGGGACGAGTATGCCTTGCTACTCTCAGATGGGCATGTCGAGACTATCCGTTTGGGTACAGTTTTTCGTACCAAGGAAGAAGTCCAGACTGGTATTCTGGCCTGGAATGTTGAGAATCTTAGGGCGGTCCGGACAAAAGATTCCAACAAGAAGTCATTCAAAGTTGTGTGCAGATCAGCTGAAGTTGTACCATGTATATGGAAGGCTCGGGTGAGTCTTAACAAACGTGATCACGACAAGTGGGAGGTAACCGAATGGACCAATAGCCACACTCATGCAGGTGGTCGAGAGAAATGACCACAAGAATGTGACCACCACCATGATCTCAAATTTTATGTTGGCTAAGATTCAGAAGCAGGTGACCTACAGTGTGGAAATGATCAGGCCGACGTAAAAAGTGCCTGGAGCGTCGATGTCAGGTACAAGAAGGTGTGACACGAGAGAAAAAAAAACCATCGATCGTCTGTATGGCACGTGAGAATTGAACTTCGCACAACTCCCCCAGTAAGCAAAAATTAATTATAAATGTATTTACGTGTTGTTTGTAACTATATTTATTTATTTATTTATTTATTTATGGTTACCTTTTATAATTTGCAGGTTTTTTGCCGCCCTTCAAAGGGCAAATTCCGGTACAGTCGTTGAGTGTAAAGTGAAATAGATTTCACCCGGGCTCCTTCAACTCGAACGGCCTCCGCACCTGCAAGAACCCAACGCCGGGGGTGGCCCCAGCGTCGGGCCTCCGATGCCTAAGCCAGTGCTCAGATCAAGAGAGGGAGTGTGTAGTAATGAAATGAGTAGAGAATGAGAGAAAGTGATACCTTAGCCCCTTTTATAGGGCGACTGTACCTTTTTGGGCTCAAGTTGGGCTTGGACCATATTGTTATGCTCTATGTCTTAGTTCGTACGTGGGCTTATCCTCCAATATGTATTCGTTGTATCCATTAACGCGGTCTAGTATAATATCCTATATCGTCTAGTCCCTCCACTCTGGTCGAGTAAGCATAACTCGATCTAAGAGTGAAATGCCTCTTCGAGCTGTTTTCTTCAACTTGCCACTAAGACCAAGCACCGAAGGTCGAATGACCATTGAATGACCACTGAAATAACCTCCAAATGAGCATTAAGATTTCAAGATCAAAAACTGAAAGACTACGAAGGTCGAAAACTGAAAGATTGGACGCCGGGGTCGAAAACTGAAAGATTTGTCGATAAAGACAAGAACCTAATGACCTGCCACTAGGGTCGAACACCAGAAGTCGAACGACAGTTGAGGTCGAAAACTGAATGATATGTTGTTGAGGTCGAACATCGAGTGATCCACCGTTGAGGTCGAAAACAGAGAAATGAGAGACTGCTGAGGTCGAAAGCTGAGAACCGAGAGTCCGTTGAGGTCGAAAGCCAAAAACCGTCGATGAGGTCGAAAACTAAAAACCGAGAACTGAATGACCACTCCCCGAAGTCTTGAATTTGAAATTTTGAACTTAAGTCTGTTGTGTTTCGATCACCATGTTCGCGTTCTCTTATACCACCTCGTCCTATCGCCCCTTAGTTCAAAATTTAAAATTCAACCATGTTATCTAATCCTCTTGGAAACCAAATGTCCTAGTGCCACCATTATTTCCAAAGACCGAAATCAACAAAATCAAGATCAAATAAAGATCATCCCCTTAATAACTTGACTTTGTGAGCTGCCCCGAGTGAACTCCCTCGACCTGCCAAATATGTCGAAAAATAAATTCGACAAACCCAAAATCAAATAAAGTTCCTCGACCTGTCACCGAGCTCTGCAAATAAACTCCCTGAGTTTGCTTGAAATGAGCCTCTTATACCTGCCACTGAAGTCGAAAAATAAATTCGACATACCCAAAATCAGATTATCGTCCTGCTCGAGCTATCCATAATAGAATCCATCGACCTGCCACTGGGATCGACAACACAAATACAGCAGAACTAAACCAGATAAAACCATTAACCTGCTCGAACTATCCAAAATAGATTGATCAAAATCACAAACACAACAGAATTAAACCAACTAAAACCATCAACATGCTCGAACTATCCATAATAAACTCTATCAACCTGCCACTGGGATCAAAAGCATCAATACAACATAACCAAGACAAATAAAACCATAACCCTACTCGAGTTATCCATAGTAAACTTCATCAACATGCCATTGGGATCAAAAGCACAATACCACAAAACCAAATCCAATTAAAACCATTAACGTGCTCGAGCAATCCGTAATGAACTTGATCGACCTGCCATTGGGGTTAAAAACAGAATACCACAGAACAAAATCCAATAAAATCATTAACCTGCTCGAGCTATCTGTTGGTGTTATATACTTAAGCTTTGCTTTAGTGGATATTTCACTTGTTATT